AGCTTTCCTCACAACGGTCCTTTAAGAAGCCACAAGGCCAGGTTTGGAATGGAGGTCTTCTAACTCCAAACCTAACGATCTCTTTGACCTAGAGAGGCCATACCTCTGGAAGATCCATAATTCCCCTGGTGTGTATGCTTTCTTAACCAGCAGAGTTACTATGGCCCACAAGATCCACAGAGTCAGAGCTAATCTAAATGGTGGTAAACATTTTTTTAAATTGGCCTTTAAGTTATTTTCAGACAGTTCATTTGTCCTGTCCTGGGCAACTCATTATCTTTTACTTAGTGGAATAGGAAGGAAAAGGAGAAAGATGTGTAGGGGGGGAACTAGGCTACATAGATGGTCCTTCAATCATGAACTAGAAGTCACCAGTCCCTCAAAACATAGACCCAATGGACTGACCATCCCACCTACTCCCTGCTCCAAATGGACTCTCCCAATGGAGGTGCCCAATGCTCTTTGTGAGCCTGCAGAAGCTATGTGTGTAAATGGGGGTCACTCATGTATTTCATACCCTTCTTTCCTTTTATTTTCTTAACACAGAAAGATTTTCAAATTGCTCAAAAAAAATAGTAGTACAGCCAGAGATTTAAAGATGTGGAAACTGACGTAAAAATAAGTTAAATATAAATCATGGTGAGTCAGAAGAGAAAGTGAGGAGGAGAAACATATTCCTTAGTTCTAATCTTGGGCTCTGATCCATAAATAATGCTACTTGGTATAATGGAAAGAGAGTTTGACAAGGAGACGAAAGCATTAGTTGCAGCTCTGCTACTAACTAAGCTGTGTGACCTTGGACAAATCATTCAACCTCTCTGAGATTCAGTTTTCTTATCTGCAACATGACAGGATTGGACTAGATCATTTCCAGTGGCCTTTCTTGCTCTAAAGGTTTATGATTCTAATCATTTAATTGTAGAATAAATCTACTGCAGAGAAGGGAATGGACTTCACAAATGGCTAGAAAAGGAACAGCAGACTCAGAAATGGCCACTTTTTAAGGCTAAACTTTATAGAACATACCCCAGAGCTTCATTACCACTTGGCTTATCACTGCAGGAATTTGAATTTAACACAGGTCAACTCACATTTCCTCCAAAACATCAACCAAAAGCCAAAAATACGTATAAAATAGTTTCCCTAAGTGGCTGGGATTGGTCCTGCCTTACCATTCCCTACACCATTTAAAAAACTATTCCTCTATTTTTCAGTTCCCCTAGATACACACAATTAAGCCGGCCAAATAAATTAGAATCCAAAAGAGAAAAGCCAGTCAACTATAATTTATTAAGCACCTGCTATGTTCCAGACTAGGGCCATGAAAGAATTTTAATAAAAATGACAAGTATGACATGACTCTAAGACAAGGGGATAGCAGGCTCTTAAGTGTTTAAAAATGGAATTTGGTAAAAAGAGAAAAGTGTAATGAACAGATCATTTTTCAGGGTGGAAATTGGCTACTAACTTTGCAAAGATCAATGCTGGCTTGGAGGTTGTTCATTTGGAAAAAAGATCCGGTGCTTTTAGATGACTGAAGACTTTATATTTTAATATAACCTTAAGCCTTGTATCTAATTGATAAATATTTGTTGAATTGAACTGAACTAACTGTATCGTATGGCTGCTGAAAAACTAATTTCAGTTCAGGCTGTATTCATAAAAATAGGATAACCACTTTATGGGATGTAATAGTGTCAGTGAACTTCACACTGGTCAAATCATACGTGAGTGCTCAGTTCTGGGTACATCACATTTTAAGAAATATATTGACAAAAAGTGACTATCTAGAGAAGGGTAAACCCTTACTTTGGACAAATCCCTTAGCCTTTTTGGGCCTCAGCTTCTCTACCTTTAATCAACTAGATTACATCTAGGTCCCTTCCACCTAAACCTATGTTTATCCGATGTTCCCACCATGGTCAAGTACCTGAAGAGCTATTCCATTGAGAGTATGGTAGCCTCGTGCTGTATTGCTCCAGAGGCCAGACTGTAACCTAGATACCCACTTGATTTGAAAAGCCTTGAGACTGTGCCACATGACAAGCAGGAGAAGGAACTGGGGAAGGACCTAGTGGGAAGATGATAGGTCTTCCAACTCAGAGATATGACTGCTGTTGAGGAATAACAACTGGGGTAGACCTACTCAACATTTCGAGTTGCTAGGAAAACTCAATAGCCGACGTGAGCCTTCAAATCTCTCTAGACCTACCTTTTCTTTTTATAGATGAGGAAAGTGAGGCCTGTAATGGTTAAATGCCTTGCTGAGGTTCAACATAGCTCGTAAGCATCCGAGATAAGATTTGAGCTCGGGTCCTCTTTACTCAAAATCCAGCATTCTATCCCATGTGCCGCCCACCTGATGGCCCTGGTCAACTGTTCAAAGAGGCTGAGGCTACTGAGTTTGGAGTATAGGAGTCTTTGGTGACCTTTGCCTGAAAGGTTTCAGTAGAGAGGCTGGTGGAAGTCACATCATAAGACATCAAAGAGAGTAAGTATATAAAGTGGAAGTAGCAAGTAAAGATAACTTTTTGGAGAAGCTTAATGAGGGAAGGAAGATGAAAGATCAGAGACCCAGAGCTGAATCTTAGAGGAAATCTCATTTTACTGATGAGGAAGCTAAGGACCACAGACTTTAGTGACTTGCCCTGGCTTACAAAAATATTAAGTGGCAATTAATTAAGTGTATTAAAGGGGATTTGGACCCCATAACCTGTTCTCTTTCTACCATATCATATAGCTCCACCTTGCTGGGGAGAGCAGGGGTTAGGAGAGATTTGGGGTTTTGTTTTTTTAAATATAGGGTCAGACCTCATCATATTGATGGGCAGAAGGTAAAAATCCCCTGGAGAGAGACAAAATTGAAGATGGAAGAGAAAAAGAGGAAATTATTGAGAGGCAGAGAAGGGTAGAATCAAGGGCCCAGGCAGAACGGGAAAAAGAAAGGGATACTTCTCCTTCTGGGAGATAAGAAAGCAGAAGGCCTGGAAATATGCAGCACAGTCCCCCAGCTCTCAAGCAGTAGGACCAGGCTAGTTAGGGAGTCAGTCAACAGTGAAACCAAAATTCATTTTCATTGTGAATTTTTGGGGTTGCTGTTTACCGAGCTGTAACTCATTGGTCTTGAAACAGAAGATTTAGAGACAGAAGGAACATGTGGAAGAAAGGGGGAAGGTGTTAAAAGAAATTTGGAAAGTGATTTCATTAAATGAAAGGGGTTTGATACAGAAACAGGGAATTAAGCTTGATTGGGAAGAGGGACTTTGTACGAAATCAAATAAGAAAACGATTCTGAGTCATAGGGAAAGGAGCCTGAACTTAAGGGGTGGGGAGAGGAAATTACACGAGGTAGCTATGGTAATGTCTTCACAGGCTGGAATTCAGCAGAGCAGAAAGCCATGGAGGTGAAATGGCTGAGGGGAGCTGGGCATTTTCATTGGCCCAGGTCCTGAACAAAAACCACTCTGGTGTACTATTCAGGTTCCTAAGGCCTTGAGCTACAACTACAAACTTCTGAGACAAAACAAGAGAAAAGCTTCAGCTCACACACTGCATTCCTCCAAAATGTCAACATGATCATAGAGGTCCAAGCACCGTTCCAGACCTGCCTCGTTACAGAACGTGAGCTCTTTGGAGGAAAAGGCCTCGACTTCGCCAATTAACCAGAGGCTGATTTGGGCTTTACGAAAGCAAAAACGTCCTCTAAATTAGAGATTTGAGAAAGTAGACTGAGTGGCTTTGGGAGGCCTCTGGGTAGTGGATTTAGAGCTGAAAGTTGAGAGAGACCATGAGGTCCAGTCCTTTTAGTTTTACAGATGAGGAAACCGAGAATCAGTGAGGTTAAGGGATTTCTTTAGCATGACTCAGCTGGAAAGAGGCAGAATAGGGATTTGAACCAGTGTGAGCATATTCTCTGACTCAAAAGTCATCATACCACATCCACCTAGGTTAGGGCTTCTTAACTTGGGGTCTATGCGCTTGTTTTTAAAAAAATATTTTGACAACTGTGCTTCAGTGTAAATGATTTCCTTTGCAATCCTATGTATTCTATTTGATGCATTTAAAAACCTTCTTTAGATAAGGGGTCCCTAGACACCAGACAGCAGCTAGGCAGCTAGGTGGCCTCATGGATACAATGCTGCGTCTAGAGTCAGGAATACCCCAGTTCAAATGTGGCTTTCAGTCACTTACTGGTCGTGTGATTTTGGCCAAGTCACTTTACCTCTGTTTGCCTCAGTTTCCCTAACTATAAAATAGGGATAATAATAGCACCTGCCTCCCAGGGTAGTTGTATGGATCAAATGAGATAGTATTTGTAAAGCACTTAGCAGACTACCTGGCACACAGTAGGTCCTATATAAATGCTAGCTATTGTTACTATTAGATTGCCAAAGGGATTCATTGTACACAAAAAGGTAAGAACCCCTGTTCTGGTGCTCACATTTATTGGAGACTCTGATAAGGGGATTTCTTATGTGGTCCAGATTGGATTAGATGCCCTCTATCCACCTCTGAGAGGCTGTGATTCTGGTACTCAAAGGATTTGTTTTACTGTGAAGTGGTACCAACGTCCCCTTGCCTCATTTCCCTCCGATGGGAAGAATGTTAAGGCACTTGCTTCTATCTTTTAAACTGTTCAATTGTATTTGAGAAAGTACATTTTGGTTTTTTTGGACAGTGGTAATGATTATTCTTTAATCAATATCAACCACTTCATACCCAAACCACAGGGACCTGCTAACATTATTAAAATATCCTGAAAAAAAAGATGGCAGGGGGGTTGTGAAATCTATACCGCACCAACTAATGGGTCCAGTCTACCTTGATGGCCCGTGACACCCTTATAACCTGAAGGGAGGAGGGTTCGTCTTCCGATTGGGGTATAGGCTCAAGTGGCCAGTGATACTCAATGCTGTCAATACACAAAAGAAGCAACACTAGTGTCCAGAAAACCAGCAGGAACCACTCTGGACACAGGAGCAGAGAAAACCCAAGGTTACCTTGAGGATGGTGATGTTCCAGGTGAAGCTCTCCACTGCTTTCTGAAGTTTCCTCTCCTTCAAGCCTTCCCTTGCCCCAATGGTGTGCAAGTGTTCATGGTACTCCATGGCTGAAATAAAGAGAAGCAATGCCTGAATTTCTCTGAGGCTTTCCCAAGCACAGTAGCTGTTTTTATAACAACAACTCAGACATGAAGACAGGGCTGCCCAGTGATTATCACTCTGGGCTCAGAGTAAGGAAAGACAGGAGTTCAAATATGGCCTTGAACCCTTTCAGTTCAAATCAATTTGCATGTATTAAGCACTGATTGTGCCCAGTGCCAAGGATAGAAAGGGAAAAAAGGGTCCTAGCCTTCAATGAGCTTATCTTCCATTTATCACTTAAAGTATATGTGCCTTAGTCAATTCAGTCAATTAGCACTTCTTAAGCACTTAGTAGATCTAAGGGCCAGAAATGGAAAGAAAAAGCAAAACTATTAAAAGTCCCTCCTGCAAGCTGCTGAGTGTCTGAGGTCAAATTTGAACTCGGGTCTTCCTGACTCCAGGCCCACCCTTTGACACCAGTTGCCTGATAATATCTGCAACCTACAATGGTTGTTGTAAAGATCAAATAGGGGAATATATATCTGATACTTGAACTTACAAATCCAGAGGCTCTACAGTTAATTCCAGAAAAGCAATTCCAAAAAGAAGTTTCAGAAAAGGGCAGTTAGGTTGAAATAATTGTCTAGTATTTCAAGGTGACAATTATGAAGGTAGGCACCGCTGACTTGGTTGGCTCATCTTTCAATATCAAGAGTACTAATTGATAGCCATATCTCTATGTATCACTTTTGCACTAGGAAGCTTGAAAACAATTCTTTTGCAAAGATCCAAGCAAGCTTCCTTTAGTAACTGCATCATCTGATTAATTCTCACTACCATGCACAAAATTAATTTCTGACACAAAAGTTTAATTACCTTGAGAACAATAGGGGATTATTATTGATGTTGGAAATTATGTCACAGATAACAAAAAACCTACAAATCTTAAAATTCTTGAATAATTTATGGTCCTAAGCTTCCTCTACTTTAATCTCCTTTAAGTAATTATGCATTTTCTTCTAAATTTTCAACTATTTTGGCAGAGAATCATAACTATTTTTTCTTTTTTTAAAATTAATTTATTTTTAGTTTTCAACATTGACTTCCACAAGATTTTGAGTTCCAAATTTTCTCCCCATCTCATCCCTCCCCTTACCCTAGGATGGCATGCATACCCTGAATACCCCTTCCCCTAATCTGCTCTCCCTTCTATCTCTCCCCCTTCTCTTATCCCCTTCCCCTTCAATTTTCCTATAGGGCAGGATAGATTTCTATATCCCATTTCCTGTATATCTTATTTGCCAGTTGCATGTGAAAAGTTTTTTTTAACTTTTGTTTTTAAAACTTTGGGTTCCAATTTTTCTCCCTTCCTCCCACCCCACCCACTTTCATTGAGAAGGCAAGCAACTCGATACAGGTTATACATGTGTAGTCAGAATCATAACTGTTTCAAGACAGCCATCTAGTTACTCTGTGTCAACAACCCTGCCACTGAATTTCTCACCAATACCACCAATACCAATGTGTCAGGAACATATTGCCTGACTCTTTACACTAGACTTCGGGCCTTGCTCGCTTATTAGAGATATATAACAGAGCTGACTTGGCCCAGTATGTGTGACCCAGCAAATCAAAGGTGGATATAGAGACAAATGGAAGGAAGTCCTACAGTGAGAATAATGTTTCTCATCAGCTGCTGCCCCATGGCAGAAATTGTTAATCTGGGGCCACATTGACCAGCATTGAGAAGTTGTTCAATGCCAGCCATCTGACTGGCTGATTAAGTGTTCTGAGAGAGAGGAACCTTGGGTGATCCCATAGCTAGAATGCTCATGGGAACTTGAACTCTAAGGAATTCTGTTCCTTCGTTGGTCAGGACTCTTTTTCAAGTTGCCTTTTGTGTAAGTCTGGGTATCTCCCTCTGAGGGTTCAATACCTGTAAGGGAATACCACAAAGGAAGCATGTCCTATCCTGAGTTGCTCTCAGATGAGTAGAAAGCTCAATTTCATTGGACATGTTACTTGCACATTTTATATGAACTGATAGACGGTGTGCCAACCACCAACAATACCACCACCACCACCAATGGCTAGTACCTGTAAAGCACTTTACAAATATTATCTCCCTTTATCCTTGCCACAACCCTGGGCTGCTATCATGAATACATATTATATAAATCAGGAAAATGTGGTAGACAGAAATTAAGTGATCTGCCTAGGATCACAGAAGCAAATTCTGAGGAGTTTTCAAACTCAGATCTTCTTGCCTCCACGTCTGACGCTATCTACTATATTCTGTGACTGCCTCTTTATTTTTAAATAGTTAGAATTTCTAACTCTTTCTAAGAATTTAGATTTCTTTTTTTATGTTCTTCAGGATAGATGAAGAGGAAGGGAAAGATGCCATTTCCCTTCACTGACAATTTTAAAAAATCAATGACACATTTTGTTTTGATACAACAAATACTTCTTAATAGACATTCCCTGAAAAAAGAGTAATATTCTTCATTATTAACCACAAGGAGGCATGTAGCCTTTAATCTTAACATTACAGCACTAATGCTGATCATTTTATTCAACCAGAATCCCATTGCCTTTCTATGTTGACTTTCTATACGCTGCGGTAATCACCGTTCAGATTATATTTCTGGCCCTGCTTTCTTCACTCTTCATTCAGGTCTTCCTACTCTTCTCTGAATTTCCATACTCCTCATTTCTTTTCCTACTGTAATAGTTCATTACTCTCCCCCCTCCCCCGATATCCCTTTATGTTCTTGACCTTTTATTTTTCCAAATGAACTTTCTTCTTATTTTATTTGGTATAGTTCTAAATCTAGAAAATAATTTAGATATTATCATTTTTACCACATTACCATGTTTTACCATGTTACAGGATGACATATCTGTTGACTGTCCAGTTAAATCAAGTAAAGTCGACAAACATATGTTGCTTAAGCACCCACTATGTGCCAGGCGCAGTGCTAAGCATTGCAGCTGCAAAGACAGGCAGAAAGAGTCCCAGCCAGTATGCAGGCAAACACACAATTTAATGGGGAAAACAACATGCAAATAATTATATACAAATTAGATTCATCTAATTACTTGTGTCTTCTTTTATTTCTAGGAAAATTGTTTTATAGTTTTATTTACTTAAGTCTTGGACGTGTCTTGATAAATTAATTTCCAGTTATATAATACATTGTGGTTATATTAAATGGAATTTTTCTTCCTATCTTTCTCCAGGGTTTTATTTTTAATATGCAGAAAGGTTGATGATTTTTGTGGATTTATTTTGTAGTACACTCCTTTACTAAAGCTATTGTTTTGATTAATTTTTTCATTAATTATCTGGAGTTCTCAATGTACATCATTATATTGTTTGCAAATAGAGATCATTTTTACCTCCCTGTTACCTACACTCATTCTTTCAATTTATTTTTCTGGTTTTATTGCTATACCTTGTATCTATGGCACTTATGTATGGTTGCTACATCTTCTGAGGAGGTTAGCTTTTACACATGTCAAAATAATCTTTGAAAATCCTTTAAATTATCTATAGAGTACAATTACTTTTTAAAAATCATAGCTGAAACTTGGTTAATATTGAAATATGTTCTGCATGACTGTACATGTATAATCTATATCAAAGTTCTTGCCTTCTTGGGGGAGAAGAAGGGAATTTGGGGCTCAAAATTATTTTTAAAAGGGTTAAAATCATTTTTACATGTAATTGAGAAAAAAATACATTCTTAAAAAATTTTTTAAGTTACAGCTGAAGAGACATTGGGATTTTTTTTAAATGAAGGCAGCGTGCATCATGGAGCAGATGGATCTGAGATTCTCATAATGGAAAACCATAATGTAACTTTGATTTTTCACAACACCTTGTTAAGTTATTGATCATGAGATAGATTGATAGAACATTTATTAAGTACTTACTAAAAGGCATGTAAGAGCTGAGGATATATATACAGCTATCCTCAAGGAAATTACATTCTAATGGGGGAAGGTAACATAAAAGGGAGGTGAAAAGGGGGATATACTGGGACTTCTGCTCAAATAGAAGAAAACAAAAACAGGTAAAAATTTAACTGGCAGGAAAAAATGGTGATTCGGGGAAAAATATTCTTTTTTTGTGTGTGTTAGGCATTTGGGGTTAAGTGACTTGCCCAGGGTCACACAGCTAATAAGTGTCAAGTGTTTGGTCTGAGGCCAGATTTGAACTCAGGTCCTCCTGACTTCAGGGCCGGTGCTCTATCCACTGTGCCACCTAGCTGCCCCTGGGGAAAATATTCTTGAGAGAGGTTTACATACGCTTGATATTAAAAGATATTTTTCCACATATATAAATGCCACCTATTTTAGAATGATTTTCATGCATCCATTGATACAGTTGTGTCTTTAATTTTCATTTAACATGGTTAATTGTGGTTTTCCTAATTTTGAATCATCCTTGCATTCCTTGTATAAATCCACCTGGTTCTAGTAAACAAAATTTTGGATTATACTGCTTATAACCACTTTGCTAATAGCCTTTTTACATAAATATTCATTTGTGATATTGGTTTATAGTTTTATTCTGCTTTCTCTTTCCATGGTTTGGTTATTAGGACTATACCTGATTCACAGGAGGAGTTTAATAAGGTTCTTTTTCTAGTTTTGAGAATACTTTATGTAACGTAAGAATTATTTTTTTAAGTGTTCAATGTAATTTACCCTGAATATTTATACGGATTTCCCCCTTTGAGACTTTATTAATGGTATTGTGATTGAAATTATGGTACACTGGGGGCAGCCAGGTGGCACAGTGGATAGAGCACCGGCCCTGAAATCAGGAGGACCTGAGTTCAAATCCGGTCTCAGACCAAACACTTGACACTTACTAGCTGTGTGACCGTGGGCAAGTCACTTAACCCCAATTGCCTTAAAAAAGAAATTATGGTACACTGAGGCACAAAGTTCCAATCACATTCAATTTACTGATGAGGCTAGCAGTTACCAACAAAAGGGATCCCATGACTCCTCA